CCCCGTCGCCATCTCGTGGCCGCGCGTCGCCGCCTCGTCGCCGCCCGGCGTTTGGGACTGCATTGTTTTGCGTTGCCACGCCGTGTGTTGTCTTGCTGAGCGTGCGTTATTACGGTTTCATGTTGGTACGTATTGTTTCGCATTGCGTCGCATTGCACTACAATGCCACATACATTGCACCACATAGATTTTGCACGACATAGGTTGCGCTACATCGATTGCACTTTTGCAGAGATTGCACCACATAGATTGCACAACACATAGTGCACCGCAAATATTGCACCACGTCGAGTATGTACCACATCGATTGAGCACCACGTGGAGTGCACCATGCAGACAGCGCAACATAATTTGCACCTCATTGACTTCAACCCGTTAGTTGAACAAGCGCTGATGGTAAAACATCGAATGCACCACATGGGTTGCACAACAAATATTGGACCGACTGGACTGAATATTGCTTCATAGAAATACACTTGCACTTGCACCACGTCGATTGCACCACATTACTTGCGGTCCATATCGATTGAACAGCACAACAAACATTTTCCCGCACACGTTGCACCACAAAGTTGGTTTTTGGAAACATGCCGATCCACCACCCACCCTGTCTTACCGGTACCCCATGGGATAGTACGAATGTCGTACGTTTCTGCCCCATCGCTCACTTTTTAAATGGAATCAGACCATCCCAGGGGACTTTGGCATCGCCTTCCGCCCCTTCTTGTTAAATGGTTGCACGCGCGCACGTCACTTGAACGCAAACTCATCAGGTCCTGAATATAAATATATGTATATGGAAGGAGAGAGAGAGAGAGAGAGAGAGAGAGATTGCAACATATGGGACAACATCTACACGCGCGCGCGGAGCCGCGCGTGCATGCCGAACATGTGCCATCAATGTTGGACTTACATGGAATTCGAGAACGAGGTTCCCAAAAACTCGGCCAAACAAATAACGCATGGTTCGCAAACTGGGCTTCCAGATAAAAGTCTGCGTGCGACTTTTCTGCGGAGTCGTATGACAAACATGATTTCTCCAACGATTTCATCAAATGCGGTCAAGCGGGCCTGTCGCGCGCGCGTGTCCAAATCATTTGAACTCCTTGGCGCGCTTGCTGGGGCGACACGAACTTTGTCACAAAATGCCGTGCGGGTCACTCGCCCGCGTCGGTCACGCCCGCATGTCGAAACCCTTCATCATACTGCTAGTCACCGTCGCGAGAAAACCATCATCGTCATCGGCGTGGCCAGCATCGGCGCCGTCATGCCTTACCGTTGTCACTGTCAGCATCGCCGCCACCACCGTTACTATCATCAGCGTGCCTGCCGTTGCCCGACGTTGACATGATGCCGCGCCTTCCACCGATACGCGCGGAAGTGCCCGCACGTCGGCGCGGCCAGCGAGACGCGCCAGGAAATTCCCAGCGGTCAGCGCCACACACCGGTGCGCCAGCCATCGCAGAGCAGTAATTTTCAATCGCCGCCGCATTGGTTTTGCAAACGAAAACGAATTTGTTGGTGGGTGGGATGCTTGCGCGAGCACTGGAGTAGACAGTTCACTTCTGAGCATGAGCTGCATCACCTACATTGCACAACCGATGGTGCATCATGGCAATTGAACCACATAAGTTTTCCAACTGGCCGCCAACCTTGGGGATGTGTAGTTGATGATCTGTCGGTCCCAATGTTTACTTTAAGGTTGGATGCGCAATGTCCCAGCCAGGCCCGTATCGACACCCCCCTCGTCCCTTGCAACAAAAACTATGCGCGAACAGTCGTGTAATCATCCAGTTTCAGAAAGTCCTTGCACAAAGCGGGACGGCTTGCACACGTGCGTGTCGGCGCGCGCGCATGCCGACACCGTAGGAATTTCAACATTAATTGCCCCGAGAGCATATCAAGTACACACAGCTTCCAAACAACAGGTACCACTCCAAAAAATCCGCGCGCGCGTTCTTGCGAATCGTGAAAAATGGTTTCCACATTACCAACACATGCTACCAAGTGGACCGTTGGCCGCGAGCGAATGCCGAAATCCCCCCAAATCTTCCATCACCGACTCATGGACACCATCATCGTCATCGGTCTGATCAGCCTCGGCGTCGTCATTGCCGTCACCGTTGTCATCGTCATCCTCACCACTTGCATTTCTACTTCCATCATCGTGTTTACACTTGTCGACGTCGCCATGATACCGCGCCCGCCCGAATCACTGACTCGCATTGCAGGGCGTGCGCGTCTGCGGGGCCTGCGAAACACGATGGGGATCCTCTAAGCGGTCAACGTCGCGCCGGTCTCGTCGGTCACGCCAGAGTAGCTGGCCGCTCTGCGCGCAAGTTTGCGCGCTCCAGCGTGGGCGCAACGATGCGCCAGCCAGCGCAGAGCAATCGCCGCAATCGCCTGCTCATGGGGGGGGGGCAAAATAGGTTGCGCGAAGTATGGCTGAAGGCTTCACGTTCGGCCAGTATATATATATATATATATGTATATATATATATATATGTTTCTTTCTTATTAAAAAATAATTCTTCCCCCCCCTGGTTAAAGACCCCCCGAGAACCTTTGCAAAATACATCGGATTCTGACCCAATGCCCATCCTACCCGTGAGTTCACAGTATCCCAGCCAAACTGGTATCGGCCCCCCCCCATCCTCTGCAACAAAATACTATGCGCGCGCATTCACTTATCAAAAATCATGGGTTTTCAATAATTCCTTGCAACAGCCGCGTCGGTCGCGCCAAGCTGCTTGGCCGCTGCGCGCGAGCTGACCGCCCGGCGCTTTCCAGCGGGCACTCCAATGCGAGTCGGCGATTGGGGCCGGCGAGGTATCATGGCAACGTCGACAATGGTAGACACGATGATGAGAATAGCGATGCTGGCGAAGACGCTGACAGCGACGACGGGGCAGCCAGTGACGGCGCCGATGTCGATCACGCCGACGACGGTGACGTCGTCTTCGCATCGGTCGCCCTAATCTAGTTGGCCGCTGCGCGCGCGAGCATGCGCGGGCTATCGCGGCCGCATACATGCACCAGTCAACACCCATCACTTATCGCAATCGCTCCCGCATGGGTTTTGCAAACCAAGTTGCGGGCGCGTGGGTTGGATGATTGCGCGAGCATCGGAGCTGACAACTTCAAGTTCGGCAAGTGAATTGCACAACATAGATTGCACCACGCGCGTTGCACCAAACGGATACACCCACGTATATTACACGATGCAAACTGCAACGGGTCGTTTGCATTACCTCAATGGCACCACAGATTCTGCAGTTCACCGTCTGCACCATAATGTTGCGCCACATATATGCCAGCACTGGTTGTACCGCTTCGATTGCACCACACATGTTGCGCCGCATAGATTGCATACCATAGGTTGCGCAACGTAGATTGCAAGAAGCACTGGTGCCCACGCTGGCCCACATTGTTCCCAGTATCGTTGAAGTATATACGTGGTTGTTGCGGTTTTCAAGACATATGCGCGCGGCTCGTAGGCGAGCGCCGCATGTTGAAGGATGATGTGTTTTCCATTCGCATAGGTGCTGTAAGTAGTTGAGATGAGAATGCGCAACGCTAGGGCGATACCTATAACCATAGTTTGAAGAGGACCCCCTCCATCCGCTGAATTGTGAGAAGCGGTTGAAACACGTGCGTGCGGTGCTAACGAGCGAGCCCCATGTTGCAAATGACCCCCTCCATCCGTGCATGCGTTGGGTGTGTTCGGCATCGGGGCAGAACGTTGCAGGAAACTCAAGCGAAAACCCCGCTCAGCCTACACACGTTCTTGTTTGGTGGTGCAAACGGGCGGAAATATCCACGAGACTCCAGAAGAGGGACGAAGAGGAGGAGGAGGAGGAGGAGAAGGAGGAGGCGGGGGAGGAGGACGAGGAGGAGGAGGAGGAGGAGGAGGAGGAGGAGGAGAAGTAGGAGGATGAGGAGGAGGAGAAAGAGGAACGGAGAGGAGGAGGAGGAGGGAGGAGGAGGAGGAGGAGGAGGAACACGTGCAGTAGCAGGAGGAGGAGAAAGAAGAGTAAGATGAGGGATATGAGAAAGAGGAGGAACAGGTGGATGAGGATGAGGAGGAAGAGGAACGGAGCAGGAGGAGGAGGAGCAGGAGCAGGAGCAGGAGCAGGAGGAGGAGCAGGAGAAGGTGCAGTAGCATGAGGAGGAACATGAGGAGGAGGAAGAGGAGGTGGAGGAGGAGGAGGAAGAGGAGAAAGGAGGAAGAGGAACGGAGAGGAGGACCAGGAGCAGGAGGAGGAGGAGCAGCAGGAGAAGGTGCAGTAGCAGGAGTAGGAGGAGGAAGAGGAAGAAGAGGAGGAAGATGAGGAAGAGGAGGAAGAGGAGGAGGAGGAGGAGGAATCAGATGAATGGAAAGGAGGAGGAGCAGGAGCAGGAGGAGGAGGAGCAGGAGAAGGTGCAGTAGCATGAGTAGGAGCAAGAGGAGGAACATGAGGAGGAGGAGGAGGAGGAGGAGGAGGAGGAGGAGGAGGAGGAAGAGGAGGAAAAGAAGGAAGAGGAACGGAGAGGAGGACCAGGAGCAGGAGGAGGAGGAGGAGCAGCAGGAGAAGGTGCAGTAGCAGGAGTAGGAGGAGTAGGAGGAGGAAGAGGAGGAAGAGGAGGAAGATGAGGAAGAGGAGGAAGAGGAGGAGGAGGAGGAGGAGGAGGAATAAGAGGAACGGAAAGGAGGAGGAGCAGGAGCAGGAGGAGGAGGAGGAGGAGCAGCAGGAGAAGGTGCAGTAGCAGGAGGAGCAGGAGGAGGAGGAGGAGCATTCGGTGTTACCGGAGTCACCGAAAGGGCAGGCGGAGCAGGACCAAGAGCAGGAGAGGAGGACGAGCAGGAGCAGCAGCAGGAGCAGGAAGAGGAGTAGAGGGACGACTGCCACGAGGAGGAGGAGCAGCAGCAGGAGCAGGAGGCGGAGGAGAGGCACGACGACCGTCGCCTGCCCAGCGAGAGCAGCCCAGCGCCACCGGGCCCGCCACGCGCGGGGGGGGAGGCATCGACGCGAGCGGCACCGCCCAGAGCTGGTTCCGCTGCGCCCGCGCCATGCAGGTGCCGGGTGCCCCCCCCCGTCGTCCGTCTCTCCTGGTGCCGCCGTGAGGCCTCCCGTCTATTCTCCAGGATGGTGCGGAGGGGGAGAAGGAGGAGGTGGTGGAGGAGGAGGAGGAGGAGGAGGAGGTCCTCCTGCGAATGAGGAGGGGGAGTGACCTCGCTGGGTGCCCCCCTCGAGGCCTCCTCGATGCTCGAGGATAGTGCGCAGGAGGAGGACGCCTGCTTCGAGGAGGGGGGGAATTGATCTCTCTGGGTGCCCCCTTCTGAGGTTTCCTCGATCCTCGAGGATGGCGCGGCGGAGGAGGAAGAGGAGGAGGAGGAGGAGGAGGAGAACGTCCTCCTGTTCCGTCCTCCTGAGGAGGAGGGGGGACGGATCTCGTTGGGGGCCACCCTGAGGCCTCCTCGATGCTCGAGCATCGAGGATCGAGGGTTTCGCGCGATCCTCATTCCACGAAGGTGGAGGGCAAAGGGGAGGAGCAGGATGACGTGGAGTGCGGAGCGGGGCAAAGGGGGGGGGAGTGGAGTGGAAAGATGTGGATGACGTGGAGTGCAATGGGGGAGGGCAAAGGAGGAGGAGCATCTGGCGCCAAGGCCACTCCCGTGGAAGGCCGCAAGCTGTCGCGGGCGCCGACAGGGGGGCCACTGGCCCAATGAGAGGGGGATCGCAGATCTGTCGGCGATGCATCGTTGATGCCAGCTCAGTGTGCTCTGCCCATGAGCCAGACCCCCGACGTCGTGATGTTCTCACAGCGTCGACCCCCAGAGGTCTCGACCCCTTCCCCGGGACCCGCTTTTCCTCCCGAGTCGTCGCTTGACGGTCTCGCGGCCCATATATGCAGTCGGCCCGGATTAGCAGGTCGATCCTGCCAGGTCAAGGGTACCCTCGTGTCCTGCGTCGTGCGACCCATGCCTCCTGCACTTCTGTGGCCACGTGGCCCGCGGCAGGGTCTTTTTGTCCTCTCGCATGCCCTCTCCAGTCAAGCCCGACGGTATTATAAGGGCCCCCGGAGGCCGAAGATGGCGCAGAACCCTTGGCATCGCTCGGACGTGTGCATTTTTCCTTCGGCGAGGACCATCGAGGAGCATCCTTGATCATTCGGCGAAAAAACCACGCACGAAACCGAAAAAAACACCGGGAAAGGACGTCCGAGCGATGGCCACGACCTCCCGTCGTGACGGTCTGCCCCAGCGCGAGGGGGTGCCCCGGCGAGCGGGCGCCCTCCCCGTGCACCTCCCCCCCCCCCGGTGCGCCGAGCGAAAAAAAGCGCGGGCCCCGGTGGGCCGAGGACGGGCTCCGGTTGCTGGGCCGCCCCTCGGGGGCCCTACCTATATCGGGGGCAGCGACAGGGGCTTGGCATCGCTCGGACGCGTGCAGTTTTCCTTCGGCGAGGACCATCGAGGAGCATCCTTGACCGTTTGGCGAAAGAGCCACGCACGAACCCGAACAAAAAGCCCAGGGAATGGACGTCCGAGCGATGGCCAGTAGGGGGGGGGATAGGCAGAGGGGGGGAGGCATCGACCCACAATCGCCGACTGATCGCCGACAGGGACCCGATGGCCCCACCCCGCCCAGGAGGGTGCGGATTCACGATCGGGGGCCTGTCGCCGATCTCTCGACGGTGCATCGCCGATTCCAGGTCGATGCATTCCCCCCGTATGCATATCCCCCCCCTATCGTTGCCCCTCACTATAGGCTTCCTATATGTATTGGGTCTGTGTAGATTTACGGCGGGCGTGTCCCTCGACAGGAGGAGCAGTCAGAAATAGTCAAAGCATAGTTTGGGGAGGGTGTTTTGCTTATTTTTGATCGGAGATTGATAGACCTCCTACCCTGACACGTCGATCGAGGAATTGGCCGTTTTCGGTTCGCGAGAGGGCGGCGCGGGCGTCCTTCTTGCGGGTCCACGTCCGTCGGTCTCGGTCCCAGGCCGTTTTCACTAAAGGGGAGGTTTACTAAAGGGAGGTTTGTCCACCGCCGACTATAGGCCTCCTATATGGGGTCTGGGTAGATTAAAGTCGGGCGTGTCCCTCTACAGGAGGAGTATCCAGAAATAGTCAAAACATAGTCTGGGGACGTTTTTTTTTAATTTGTTTTTTCTGCCAAAACCCGCCTGTAGGGGGACATGCCCGACCTACGAGTAGATGGAGCGGAGAATCGCGCCGCATCGCCGATGCATCGGCGATGCGGCTCGATGCGGAGCTCCGACGTCGCCGACGCATCGCCGATGCATCGCCGATGCATTGTCGATGTATCGATGGTGCATCGGCGATGCGGCGCGATCCTCCGACCCCATCTATTCGGATGCAACTCCTGGGAGGTCAAATTCTGATTTTGCCCTGGTCCGAAATCCGGCTCAATCCCGTTTAATCCCGCTTAATCCGGCTTCATCCCGCTCACCCCCGCCTAAGCCGGTCTGATCCGAGGGTAACAGCCCCCCAAAGGGGCCTAATCCTCCTCAACCCTTCCGACGTGTGCAATTGTTTCCTCCGGCGAGGACCATCGAGGAGCATCCGTGATCAATTGGCGAAGAGACCCACGCACGAAGCCGAACAAAAAGAGCACAGGGAAGGGGCGTCCGAGCGATGGCCATTGCGCGGGCCCAATCTCTCGCCAGGAGGCCTCCATAGGACAAAACGACGCGAAGATCGGATCAAAAAAAGGATCGGGATACCTCGGAATCTCTGAGAATCGGCGGGTTTGGAGGATGTATTGGGCGCCGCGGCCGCTCCAGAGCGTTCCGGAACGCTCTGAGATCGCTCCGGAACGCTCTGGAGCGATTTATCCCGATCCTAGCCCTGTTTTACCTGTACCTCTACGGGGGGAAGATTCAGAAATAGGAAAAACATAGTTCGGGAACTATGTTTTGAGTACTTGTTGACAGTTTCGGAGTATTGCTTGAGTGTGTTTTTTTATATGTTTCGTCGGGAAGTCCCCCTGCAGGGGGGCCCGCCCGACCAAAACCCAGTGTTGAACTGGGCCTGTCCCTCTACCCATCGGTCGTTGAAGGTGGGTATTTTGGGATTCCCTGATTCCAATCTGCTCTAAGCGACTTCCTACCTCGATGATCGATTGGCGTCACCGTTTCCGTCCTCTGCAGGGGGCGAGCGGACACCCGATCTACTCTCAACGCTTTCCTACTTCATCTTCCTACCTACTTCTTCCGACCGATGGCTACAGGGGGAATGTTCAAGAATAGTCAGAAAATAGTAGGGGGACGATGCTCGATAATCTTATATATATGTATGTATGTATATAAAGTCTGTATGTTTGAAGTTTGTTTTCCTTGTCCTCCAAAATCCGCCTGTAGGGGGACACGCCCGACCTAAACCCAGAGCTCCCCACGGCAGCACGGCGCGGCTGCCCCGCGCCCTCCCGGGCTGAGGGGAGGTGGGCGGACGGGGAGGAGGCCTCCTTCCTCCCCTTCGCCGCCTTCTCTGTCCTCCCCTTCGTCTCCTCCCTCCCCTTCTCCCCCCGGAGAAGAAGACGAAGAAGCGCAGTGCAAGAAGTCCGCGCGGAGCGTTACAAGTTTTGTGCCTTCTTCTCCTCGTGCTCTTCCTCCTCCTCTTTCTTCTCCTTCGCCTTGCTCCAGGCTCCCCCTGTCCAACACTCCAGGAGCCCCTGCCGGCCTCTAGAGGCACACGTGTCCGCAGCGTTGAGCCGCGATTCGAGTCGGGGATGGACTGCAGAATTGGGTTACTCCAGAGTTGAAGTTGCCGTCGAAGCCACGGACCAGAAAGACGTACACTGTTCGTAGACGTGCGGACACGATACGGATTTTGTCCCAGCCGATTCGACGAAGAAGAAAGCAGTGCTTGGGGCACTTCCAGCCTGTAGTCGACCCCCCCTCTTCGAGCGATAGAAGGGAGTGACGGCGGCGGCGCGGACGAGGGCGGGGAGGAAGACGGCGAGGAGGGCGAGGAGCAGAGGGCCGCCGAGGAGGGCGAGGACGAGGACGGCGAGGAGGGCGAGGAGGGCGAGGACGACCTCGGAGGAGACGAGGGGCAGAGGGCCGAGGAAGGGGCGCGGCCGCCCCTCCCCCCCCCCCCCCGTGTGGTGGCGGGGGGGGGCAGCGACGGGCGCCCCTCGCGGGTGGCCCGCAGGAGCTGCGTCCGCCCGGCGTGAGGCTTTGGCATCGCTCGGACGTGCGCGCTCTCTCTCTCTCTCTCTCTCTCGGCGAGGCGAGCGCCGAGGCCGCGGGGAGGGGGGCGATGGGGAGGAGGAGGAGGAGGAGGAGGAGGAGGAGGAGGAGGAGGAGGAGGAGGAGGGGGAGGAGGAGGAGGAGGAGGAGGGGGCGGAGGCGGAGGAGGAGGAGGCGGAGGCGGAGGGTGAGCCATCACAGGGCTGGGCCTAAGCGGTGTTCTCTCTAGGATCAGATGCTGCGACAAGAGCCGCGCACGAAACCGACACAAAGCGCAGGGAAGGGACGTCCGAGTGATGGCCAGGGAGCGGCTTCGGCAAACGGCGTCGCCTTCGCCGACGCCTGGCGCGCAGGCTGCCCGCGGCAGCCCGCGCGCCGGCGCCCCCGTCTCCGGCGCGGCGTGCCGCGCGGGCGGCCCGCGCGAGCCGCCCGGTGAGGTCGCTGCGCCGTCTCGCGCAGGGCCGTCTCGCGCCGGGAGGGCGGCCAGCACTGGAGCGCAAGGGGACTCCTCCTCTTCGTCCTCCTTCTCCTCCTCCTCCCCCTCCTCCTCCTCCTCCTCCTCCTCCTCCTCCTCCTCGCTTCCTCGCTTCCCTCGCCTCGCTTCCTCGCTTCCTCGTCCTCCTCCTCCTCCTCCTCCTCCTCCTCCTCCTCCTCCTCCTCCTCCCCCTCCTGCTCCTCCTCCTTCACTTTCTCCAGTCCAGTTCTGGGGATCGTCGCCCACGTGTCTGTTTCCAGTCCAGTCTGGATCCTAGGTTTATGATGTTCCAACCTACTTTAGCCTTCACCACCAGAAAGGATTTCGAGCGCCAGGAAAGTACCCAAAAACTCAAGGCTACCACGTGTCGGGCCCTGGGAGACACTCGTCCGACACTCTTTCGGCACTATTTCGACACTTTTTCGACACTTTTCCGGGTGCTCGAGATTACGTCTGGGATGTGGTTCTTCTTAAGTACGATGGGAGCAGCATATTTCTAGGTATAGACCCATCCAGATCAAGGGCGCCCTCGTGTCCCGTGTTCCAGCGACCGTTGCCTTTTGCCTTCCTGGGGGGGGCGGTGGCGCGTCCTCCCTGAGCAGGCTCGACTGTGGCCCGGCCTCAAAAGGACTCCTCCTCCTCCTCCTCCTCCTCCTCCTCCTCCTCCTCCTCCTCCTCCTCCTCCTCCTCCTCCTCCTCCTCCTCCTCCTCCTCCTCCTCCTCCTCCCCTCCTCCTCCTCCTCCTCCTCCTCCTCCTCCTCCTCCTCCTCCTCCTAGCTCGACACGCGGGCGCCAGTCTTCGGCGTCGAGCGAGGGGGGGGGGCGAGAAGGAGACTGCCTTCCAAGAAGCAGGCGGGACCTCAGAGGCCCCCGCGCCTTCTGAGAACTCGTCTGTGCCTCTTCGGGGAGAGCCCCGAAAACTCTCCAGAAGGCCAGGGGACTCTCCAGAAGGCCGGGGGGAGGCGAGAAGGAGACTGCCTTCCAAAAGACAGGCGGGCCCTCAGAAGCCCCCGCGCCTTCTTATGGAAACAAAGAGTAACATAAACATACAAAACTCATAGGTCCGCGCGGAGTTCTCGGATCGGCGCTGGGCCCCCACGGCGGCGCCTCCGGCGCCGCCCCTGGCGCGCTCCGCGCGCCAGGGAGGGGGGTCCAGCGCCGATCCGAGAAATCCGCGCGGACCTCCGAGTTTTTATTTTTATGCAACTTTTTGTTCCCCTGCTTCTGAGAACTCGTCTGTGCCTCTTCGGGGAAAGCCCAGAACACTCTCCAGAAGGCCGGGGGACGTCCGAGCCTCCTCAGAAGGCCCGAGCCTTCTCTTTTCCCCCCGGGCTCGCCGCCGCAACCCAGACCCCAGACATCGCGATCTTTTCACAAGGTCGACCCCCAGATGTCTCGACCCCTTCCCCAGGACCGGTTTTGCATCCTGAGTCGTTCTCTGACGGTCCCTAGGCCTGGCGAGGGCCCCCGGATGCCGAAATTAGTGAGAAATTTCCCGTCGTTGTCTCTTCGCAACGCGAGGGGGTCCGGGAACGACATGTCTGAGGATCATTCACCTCAGCAGGCGGAGCACCTGCTGATGCTCAACTCCTTCGGCGTGGACACGCGGAAGGCGCCCGCGGCCCGCCAGCGCCAGGCGGCGCCTCTGCGCGCGGCGGGCCTCGCTTTGGCCATCGCGGGCGTTCGGGATGCCCCCCCTGGGGGCCCTCGGGAAGCCCCTCCTCAGAGGCCCGAATCATCAGGGGCAACTCGGGGCAGGGCCAACTCGGGCTCATTTCTCGGGAATCCGAACCCGAGTTGCCCCGGGCCCGAGGTACCCCGGATAACTCGGGCGCCCAACCTCGGAGGCTCGTCGGCGTCGGAAGGCCCCGCCTTCGGAAGGCCCCTCGGAGGCCCTCGGAAGGCTCCGCGAAGGCCCTCAGAAGGCCTTCGGGGCGGCCGACGCGCGCGCGCGCGGGTGAGCGGAGCGCGGCGCGGTCTTCGCGGAGGGCGTGGCAGTCGTGGCGCGCCCAGGCGTGCGGGCACTAGGCCTCCTGTTCGCCATGGGGTGGAGGGTTTCTCCGAAGGGCCTAGGCGACCCGTCCTCCTCCTCCTTCTCCTCCTCCTCCTCCTCCTCCTCCCTCCTCCTCCTCCTCCTCCTCCTCCTCCTCCTCCTCCTCCTCCTCCTCCTCCTCCTCGGGTCGCCTACGGCCCCGGGGGCAACCGTGCAGCATGGGGATGTCGCTGGTTTCGGGCTCTCGGGGCCTTCCTCGGGCACCGGGACTATACGAAAACTACGCAGGATGAGAATCTCATCGTGGGTGGCAGGCCCCAGCGTTCCAGGCCCGTTTCCCCCGGGACCCGTTTCCCCCATGCTATTCTTGATGTTGTTTCCCAGATGGGGTCCGTGTACAGTCACAATTGATGGTGAGGATGCGCGATGAAGATGCAAGCCCATTGGACACTCGTGTCAAAGCTTTTCGCGCGGGGCTGGCCGTCGAACGGGGGTAAGGATGGACCGAGAGGCAAGGATGCGAGGGGACCCTTGGGAAGGTTCGGAGGGGCGCGCCACATCGCCGATCTACCGGTGATGCGGCTCGACGTGGAGCGGGGGCGCTCATCAAGAGGCCATATGTTTTTTTCGTCAGGGTACTCTGCTTTTTTCGCTCCTCGCGCTGCGCGATGACTTCCGCGGCCCTTCAAGAAGCTGCTGCGTTCAGGGTACCCGGTGCTCCCCCCCAGTCGCACCTCTCGCGTGTATCATCAGAGTTGGGTTTCTTCGCGAGGGTTTCTAGCGGCCGCGTCCGCCCTGCAGATGGGGTTGCAGGATCGCGCCGCACCGCCGATGCATCGGCGATGCGGCTCGATAGCGGAGCCCGATGTTCTCGAAGCCGGCGGTGCTAGTGAATCGCCGATGCGGCGCGAGCTTCCGACCCCGTCTACTCGGACCCCATCCAGGAGGTTTCTATCGTGGCCGCTCACAAGCATGCCTTCGAGTATTCAGGGTCCAGGGTCCATCTGGTTGACAGCTCTTCACCCTCTGGGGGCCTCGTGCCGGCTTCCCGTCGCCACGGCCAAATGTTTCCATTCTTGGAAGCCTTGGCAGCCCCAGGACGAGTCCCGGGGGGAGTTCCAGGGGCTCCGCAGTGTCGTCGGCTCGGCTGCTCCGCAGTCGGCCGCAGGTGGGGTCGGCTCGGCCGGTTGCTGTGCCACTGCGTTTAGGTCGGGCACGTCCCCCTACAGGCTGATTTTGGGCGAAAACTGAAAAATAGTCCAAAATGCACCAACATAATGAAAAATGGTACTAACAAAGAAATCGTCCCCGAACTATTTTCGGGGGAGCGTAAGACCCGGGTTTGCCAGGACTCGGGTTCGCCATCGTTTTTTGACGACCGCGACTCTGATTTTGACGAGGAGGAGTTTTGTGGGATGTCTGCAGCGGGAGGCCTCGTCAAAATGCACGCTCGGCCTCGTCATTTTTGTTGACGACCTCGTCGGGGATTTCCGAGTCCCCCGTACCCGGGTCTTACGTCTCCCCGATATTTTTGATTATTTTTGAATATTCCTCCTGTAGAGGGACGGGCCCGACTTAACACTGCGTCCTTCTTAGGCTGCACCCGGTCCGTCGGTTTCGGTCGGTTTCAGTTTCGTTGTCGGTTCGGCCAGTTGTCGGTTTCCAGTTTCGGTTGTCACCGTGGATGTTGATGGCCTGCGATCCTTGGACGCAGACCCCTGGCGACTCGGACAGGTCGCGCTGGAGGTCTCCTCCACTTTTGACCTCGGGCTCGAGATGGGTTGTTCTGGCTACGGGGCCATCAGAAAACGGCCTCGAGTTGACAACACAGTCTTTGGGAAGGACCGAGAATGATATTCGATTGTTTCGGTTTGACGCGCACAGACGTGACGCCTCGCCCTCGAGTTTGCAGAAGGTTGGTGGAAGCCAGCGACAGTACAACCAAAGTGGTTTTGCTTGCGCACGGTCGGTGGGATCCAGCGGAAATGAAAGTTGTTCCCCCAAGGGAGGCCAGCTCCAGCGCATCTAGGGTTCATAATCGGCCATGCGCAAATCAGTCAGAAGTTCCCAAGAGGTGCTTTTGTCCCTAAAGACGCTTGGCATGCCGCCGTGGGCTTTCTTCTCCGACGGCGCGTTGCTCTATGATTGGATGTATTCGTGTTCGCATTTGAAGTTCTTGTCGCTTAATGAACTTGGCACGAGGCTGCGAGGATTCGTGGTGGCCATGGGCTGCGCAGAAAAGGGTGCACCCACTGGTTGCGCCGGAGGCCTGGCACATGTTCCTAGCCAGCATGGGTTGCGCCCACTGTTTGTGCTGGAGGCTCTGGGGATTTCCCTCGGCTTTCCGTGGCCTCCTGCGAAGCGCTTGAGTAGGGGAACGATCAATGGCATAAACATAATAACTCAGAGGTCCGCGCGGATTTCTCGGATCGGCGCTGGCTGGATCCCCTCCCTGGCGTGCGGAGCGCGCCAGGGGCGGCTCCAGAGGCGCCGCCAGGGGGCCGGGCCCCAGCGCCGATCCGAGAAATCCGCGCGGACCTCCGAGTTATTACGTTTATGTCATTGTTCGTTCCCCTATTGAGGGCCCCGAGCCATAGCTTGCGCACATGGGTTGCGCCATAGGTGGCCCCAATGTGCTGCGCCTAAAGGAGCCAGGGACTCGTCGTGGCCAAAGGTTGCGCCCAATGGTTGACCACGAGGTTCAGGACATGTTCTGTTGCGCTGTTCGTCGATCAGCTGCTTCCGTGGGTTGCGCCCGAGTCCAGAGTTCTGCCTGGGTGCTTGTAGATGGCACCCACGGGCTTCGTGACGCGCCCATTGAGGCTGTGGCCCTCTGGATTTTTTCGTGGTCCCGGGTCGCACCACAGGCGGTGCATGCGGCTGCAAGGGCCTCTCGTGTGGCCACATGGCCAGAGGTTGCGCCCGCGTGGGTCGCGCCGTGCGCCAACCAATCGAGGCCCTCTGGATTTTTTCGTGGTCCCGGGGTCGCACCACAGGCGGTGCATGCGGCTGCGAGGAGGAGGAGGAGGAGGAGGAGGAGGAGGAGGGTGGAGGAGGAGGGGGAGGAGGGTGGAGGAGGAGGAGGAGGAGGAGGAGGGGGAGGAGGGTGGAGGAGGAGGAGGAGGAGGATTCATGGCGCCTCTTATTTCATTACGTCCCTGGCCCCCCCGCTGGGCCGCGCACATGCCGCTGGTCATGATTTGCACCCCCCCCTCTTGGACACCCCCCTCTTGGCCGCTCCCGACCTGAGTCGCGCCCACGGGGCGCGCCACAGGCTGCACGTAAGTCGGGCGTGTCCCTCTACAGGAGGGATATTTCCAAACATAGTCCAAACATAGTCGGAGGACGATGTTTGAAAATTGATTGTTTCAACATGGTTGATAAGTTTTATGGTTTGGTGTTTCGTCAAAAATCCGCCTGTGGGGGGGCAGGCCCGACCTAAGGCTGCACCCATCGGTTGCCCCATGAGGGCCCAGGGAGTCGTCGTGGTCACAGGTTGCGCCCATGGGGCTGCGCCTGAGGCTCCCCGGAGCTCTTCGGAGCCATCGGTTGCGCACTGGGAGCCTCCCCCAGAGGACGCACGGTCCCAAACAGCCGCACCAAGCAGAGGTCCCGAGTCAGACCTTCCCCCTCCCCCCCCTTCCGCCCCATGTCGAAACGCCGAATAAAAGGACGCTCACATGGAACAGGAAGGAATGGAAATGAGCGTCCGAAACAGACAACAGTTGAACAGACAGCTCGCATTGCCGTGTGGAGTGATAGACACGGAGGGCGGGACGGTCTGAGGGAGGGTCTGCAGAGTACGGCGAGCGTGTTGAGTCAGAGGGCACGCGCGCTGCGGAGGTCGTTCTTGCAACGGAGCCGGACGAGACCAAGGCCTGCGCACTGGAGTAGTATCTCTCTCGTCCTCAAGTCTGTGTTCACCCTCTGCATCCACACTTTCCCACGTCGCCGTCCTGTCTGCATCATGCTGCCTCGACCCCTCCCCCTCCAGAATTGGCCATGCCAGTTCAGGGGCCGGATGGCTTGGACCAGACGCCTGCGATGCCTACAGTGCTGTACCGCAGGAGCGCGAGGTTGCCCAGCGGATTCCTTCTTCCAGTTAGGCCATTGTAGCCACCTCGGTTTTACCTTCTGCCTCGCGGAGGAAGAGCAAAAACCCAACCTGAAGCATCAACGGATCGGTTACCCTCGCAGCTCTCAGCGCGTTCCAGTTGACATCAGATTTGATCGCCTTCAGTATTGACAGCCTAGCTTGCAGTCGTGGCGTCGGAGCATCTGGCTTACATTTCGCTCGTTGGAGGTAGAAGTGTTACCGCCCAGTTGACACCAATATGGTTCCGCCGCTTTCCTACTTCAACAACCGAAGGTGCCTATGTCCACTTCAAGTGCTTTCTGTTTCTTCTGGAAATGGCTGTATGGCAAGTTACGTAGCCATTTTGGTTCAAGCCGTTACTGGTTCAAGGTCATTGGGTGCAGTTCGGCAGATCCCATTAGCATTTCTCATTTTCTGCGATGGGTACCGCACACTGCGCCACATGCACACGCTACGCCATCGGCGCCATGTTCATTGCCTTTCTTGCGATTGCCATTGGAGCAGTTCTCGATGGCATCTCATTCGGCAGCATTGTGCATATAGGCCCAGACGTGCTTCCAGTGCCAGCTCCAAATTTGAGTGTGCAGGATTTTGAACGTGACGGCTTTCTTGTAGTTCGCAAGTTAATCAGTGGGGAGGTGTTGCGTGACGCACAAATGGCTGGAGAGGCTGAGACACAGCGGCAGCATTGGTTTTTCGACGGATTATTCGGAGTATACTATTCAAAAGTGACATTTGCATTATGGCAGCGGCAGCTGCCCTTCGCCAGAGTCGCCTTTGGTTCCGCGGCCCCCAGTGCGGCTGCTGCCTTGACCGGAGGAAACATGCCATTGCGTGTTCTCAAAGATTCGTTCATGTCTTTATCCCCACGTCGCATGGGTTGCGGATGGCACGTCGACGACAAGGGGTTTTGGCCAGCGCTCGACAATGATACGTCAGGTATCAATGTGTGGATTGCTCTCAGCTCGATGCGAGCATCAAGCGGTGGTGGTTTGGCAGTCGTTTCCAAATCCTCGAGCTACGATTGGTTTGAGACGTGCAGAGCTGCCATCACGTCCCCAGATGGTTCGAAGACGTGCGACATGGCCACTTTGTCACCTGAATGCCACCGCCACTTTGAGCAATCAAAGGTTGTGCATGATGTTGACCCTGGCGATGCAATATTGCTATCTCGAGAAGTATTCCACAGGGCAGAACCATTCAGAGATAATGTGACATCTGCTCCTCTGCACCGCTATCGAGTGGCCTTCTGTCTATCCCGCCACCGTGCCCGGTTTGTAGGTCAGAGGCCTTTGTGATGCCTGTGGAGATCTCTTGGGAAGCCTCTTGGAAGCCCATTTGCTTAGTGTGCCTTGGAAGCGCCCAGGGCGTTTCTTTGTAGTTGCCAACTTTCATTCTAAAATTTGTGCTTCAATAGTTTCCAGCTGCAGTTGCTTAGTCTTTTCCAGGTTTCCGTGGCGATACGTTTTTGTTGATTGTTTCCGACGCCAAACCGGTGGAACATGTTTTACAGTTGTCCAGCTTCATCTTTCCCATCCATTTTGTGGTGTTGGGTCCTCATTTTGAATTGACAGCGCCCCGCGTCCACTCCTTCCTTCCTCTTGCTGCCCCCTCCTTACTCCCATTCTGCGTCCTCATCGTCATCGTCCTTAACATCGCCATCACCATCGTTATCATCGTCGCCATCATCATCATCATCATCATCATCATCATCATCATCATCATCGTCATGATCATCATCGTCGTCATCACCATGATGCTCATCATCATCATCATCATCATGCGCTTCTCTATTCTCCTTGCCGCTCGCGCCCGTTCAGGTCCTGCAGCTTCTCGGCCCCAAGCTTGCTCTTCTCGCCCCCCGCTCCCCCCGCCGCGCGCGCGCGCGGCCAGGGCGCCAGGGGGCTTGCGGTTGCCACCGCCGCGCAGGTTCCTCTTCACCTACGCGGCGGTGTTCTACTTGCTGGGCTACGAGCTGCTTTGGGCCACTGCCGCAGGCAGGGGTCCCAACGCTTCCTCCGTGATCTGGCTGGTTCGGGGTCGCTCTTTCACCCCGCCAGTCAGAGCTCGGGTGGGGGTGGGCCGGCTGCCTCCTGTGGGCACCCGGCAGCGGCGAGTGTGCACACTCTCCGCTCGGGCGCCGCTGCCCCCCTGGCAGTGCGCGCCCGTGTCATCTGGGCGTGGCCCCAGCCAGGCCGTCCAGGCAGGCGTCTGACCTGCTCGCGGGTTCCTCCCGCGCCTGCCGCAGCTGCTGCTCGTGTGACGCTGGCTTCTGAGCCCCGTCCCGCAGGCTCGGCATCCGATGGCGCCTGCCTCCCTTTCGCCGCTACAAAACTCCCCTCCTTCCTCTTGCCTCTTCCCCTTGGACCCCGGAGCGGACGCCCATCTGAGGAGAGGAGTAGGAGGTGGAGTTCCCTCGCATCACGAGGAGGCCGCGCCATCGGCCCGGAAGAAGAGTGCTCGCGCTACGCCCGTTGCCGGCGCCACTCAAGGGTCGAGCCCGCCCGCCGCCGAACGGTCTATTGCTCGCGCCACGAGTGTCGCCGCCGCCTCTCGGAACACCGCCCGCCTGGCAACAGGCGGAGAGGCCACCGGCGCGAAGATAACGGCGTCCAGGACGGAGGAGTCGGAGTCGGTGGACCCTCTCTTTCTCCACTCCCCCTCTACTCCTCCCCCTCCAGTCGCCGCTTCGCCATGGCTCAGCTGCCGTTCGCGGCATCGTTTCCCTCGCGTGGGCAACGACAGGCGCGCGCGCGCCCAGGGCCCTTCGGGCGGATCGGGACCCAGCGGATTTGAGGGGGTTGGCATGCGCCCTTCCAGCGATGCTGCTACGGCCCCGCAGGGGAGGGGTCGTGCCGCCCACTCAACCGTCGGCCTGGCTCACCAGTCTGGCCGCCCGCCGCGAGCAAGTTTTCTGGCCGCCTCGCCCGCTCCCGCGGGTTTTCGGCCCCCTCCAGGGTCGGAGCCGTCGGTTGTCGAAACCAGGCGGGGCGGGAGCTCTGTTCGTTTGGCAATCACCCACGAGCTGTCGCGCGCGGTGCCTCCCCCGCCTACTGTAGCGGCGGACGCTGTGGATTCTGGCGGTTTGGAGGGGGTGGGTATGCGCTCCTCCAGCGATGCTGTTGCGGCCCCGCAGGGAGGGGTTCGTACCGCTCCCCCAGCCGCCACCGCAGTTAACCAGCTTAGCACCCCGCCGCGAGACGGTCCCAAGGCAGCTTTGCCCTCGCTTTCGGGACTCCAGCTCCCTTCAGGGTTGGAGCCGCCGTCACAGACGCGTGCCGAGCGCACAGGGCCACCGCGGAGCAGTCCCAGAGCCGCCTCGCCGACTCGCGCCAGCTTCCGGCCCCCCCCTGGGTTGGAGTCGCCGTTGCAGCCGCGTGCTTGGCGGATGGGCCCACCGCCTGGCTTTGATGCACGAACACCAGCACTGCCGGCGGCAGCACCAACGCCTGCGCTTACGCCGGCACCAGCGCCAGCGCCTCCTCCTGCGCCGAGGCCGGCACCGATGCCTGCACGAGCGCCAGCACGGACAGCGGCAGCACCGACGCGTGCGCTTACACCAGCACCAGCGCCAGCGCCGCACCGACGTCAGCATCAACGCCAGCACCTGGCGGCGTCAGCACCGACGCTTGCGCTTACGCCGGCACCAGCGCCAGCGCCTACGCCAGCACCGAGGCCAGCGCCGACGCCAGCCCTGACGCCAGCACAGACGGCGGCAGCACCGACGCCTGCGCTTCCGCCGGCACTAGCGCCAGCGATTACGCCAGGGGGCGCTTCGACAGTGTTGCCCTTCCACCCGCCACCTGGGTTTGAGGCGCTGTCGGGCCCTGCGGTCTGGCAGGTGGGGCCATCTCCCTGCCTCGCTAGCCTGGAGGCGGGCGCTCGGGTGCCGCCGCCGCACAACCGTTGCGCGACCGACGCCGCGGTTGGGTTTCCTTTTCCTGACAGCGGAAGTGGGCAGTCGGCGATCCCCTGCCTAGGGGCCTCACCCCTGCCTCCAAGGGAGCCGCTTGCGGTCAGTGCCTCCCGTGCGAGCGCCCACGCCATCTTGCACTCGCTCGGGCTACTCGGGAATCCAACCTCGGCGTCGACGGACCCCGCGTCCCTGCCAGTGTCGGCCCCCTTGTTGTCAGGCGCTACGCGACATGTTTCTGCTGCTGCTGCAGATGGTTTCGGGGTAGCTGGTACCTGCCTGCCGGGCGCCGCTGCTTCGGCGCCACAGAGCACGGGTCGCACCGATCCCTCAGCCCCCGCCGCAGCTCGCGATTTGGGCACGCCGCCGCAAAGCTGTCCTATGGCCACTTCGCCGTGTCTTCCAGGCTTCCTGCCCCCACCAGGGCTGGAGCCGCCGTCACGGCCGTGTGCCTCGCGTCGCTCTGGGGGCGCCCTCCGCGAGGCTAGAGGCGCTCCAGCCCTTCGCCGACGTGGCGGTTCGTCTGGGTTTTCAGCCATTCGGGATCGCGGCCACGTTGGCCAGGGCACCTGCGCCACCTCATCGCGTCCAGCTGCGCGCTGGGACCCCAGCTTCGGCGCTCGTCTCAGCGTGGGGGAAGGCTCGGTCGAACGCCCCTCCGCAGGCGCTCCCGCCTGCCCCTCCCGCGCGCGTCCCCCCGCCACTTGGGCGGGCCGACCCCGCTGCGGTCGCCGGCTCCGCCGAGGGGGTCGCAGGGGACGCACTGGGGCTGCCTGCCGAGGCGCCCCAGAGGGCTCTCGATCTGGCTTTCATCTGCCAGCGGGAGGCGCTGCAGCGGTGCATGTTCATCGTCCAGCTGGTGGGGGG